GCATGGTGGCACATGCCTGTGGTCCCAGCTACTCAAGAGGCTGAGGCAGGAGGATTGCTTGAGCCCCAGAGTCTAAGGTTGCTGTGAGCTAGGCTGACGCCACGGCACTCTACCCCGGGCAACAGAGTGAGACTCTGTCTCAAAAAAAAAAAAAAAGAAAACCTTCTTCATAGAATTCTAAAGTAAATAATCCAGTGATCTGATTAATGTAAGACTTTAATCACTATAACTGAATAGATTTTCATCACAGGTTGCACTGAGTAAGCAAGAGAAGTAGATATTTAGAACTTTGAGAAACAAGACTGAAAACCCCCAAGCTTCTTTACACTTAAAAATATTCATCTGTTGTTAAGAGCAAGAGCTTACGAAAGAGGTAAACTCATTCACTGAGCTTTAGTCTGTTGCTTCATCCACTGGTGGCTGAGTGAACTGAGGCTTTTTTAAATATAGCTGTAGAATCTTCTTATTTAAATGTAAAAACAAAACAGTTACAGAGAAAATAATCACTATAGAGGTTTATTTTGGAAAAAATGTAAGTTTTTTATTTTAATTTTGAAGATTACAAGCAAAATATTAGGGAGTTGGAACATATATATATACATATATGTATGTTTTATATGTTTGTATTATATGTGTTCATATATTTTTTCATCATTTGTAAAGTGATTTTCCTATTTGACTTCATAGACAAAAATGTGCATTTCCTTAAAAACTTGGAAAAATCAGTATTTTAATTTGAAAAAGAAGGATGATATCCATGTAAACTGTGTTAACATTTTCAGAAGAGTAGCATCTTGTTAGAGTGTAGAAAGGTGGGCGTTTGAGTTACAGGCTGAATTTAAAATCTAACTTTCAAGAGACTCTGTTTCCTCATCTGTAAAATAGGGATAGCAGGACCAAGCTTGGGGGATCATTCTGCAGGCAAATGAGATAATCCATATAATTCCTCCATCATAGAGTTGAGTTTATATGCTCAAGTCTATGTTAAGTAAAAATTACATGTTTCTATTTTCATAGTATGGTGATAATTATCATACAGATCAATGACTTCTTTACTCTCATTGTTCTTGTTAATCTATGGTTTCTAAATAATTTGAGGTATGTGTCAGTGGCTTTTCTCAATTTATCTTTTTCTTCAACCCACCAAGCCTAAGGAATCAAAGAATTTGCAGCATCGAACACATGAAAATGTGTACTCTGAGACTGTTATGACAATAGCATCAATATCAATCATTTCCTAGACTAGCCCATGGGCCTAGGGCCCTCGCACAGTAGAGAGCCCCGGCTACTCCTAGCATCGAGCAGTGCTTGAGGTCCAGAAAGGAGGCTAAGTTTACATACGGACAATCTGACACCTATTGAAGAAGGTTTATGTTTACGCTGAATGAAAGTTACCCAAACTAAACTGTGTGTGTGTCCCTAAGTATAGCTGAAATTTTCTGTCACTATCCCCAAGCTCCAGCACAGTGTTCCTCAGGCTTTCCTGTGTATCTGAATCGTCCAAGGATTCAGTAGGTCTGGGGTGGGGTCTGGGAAGCACATTTTGCTACCAAGTGATGCCAGAACTGCTGGCTGTAGGACCACACTATCGGTAGCAAGGCACTAAATATGAAGTCCTGTAGTTTTAGAAGTCAGTGAGCAGCCAAGTTTTCCAACAAATGAATCCTTTCAGCCTCTTTTTCTAGTCCATAGGCAGGGATTGGATTGTCACTAGGTATCCACTCTGCTCACAGGGAAACATTATGACTTGGGAAACATCTTGAAATAAAAACCAAAAAATCATGTTGAGGACATAGTCAGATTAATATCTTCGAATAGGACAGAGGAGCTTTACATGGAGGTACATGAATCCTTGACTATTTACTGAAAAACTAGAATGTCTTAACCAAGCAGAGTCTCTCTAACTCTACCCCCTTAGTCAGATTGTTTTCAATTTAAATATCTCTTCTTCTTAAACCCACACTACAACTTCCTTAACCTGTTAGAAATGAAGGCAGGTTTTCTTTATGAAATATTCTATTAAATATGGTACATTAAAGAACAACATTGTATCAAATATTGTGCCAAATTTTTAGAAGATAGTTTCTGGTTTCAAATAGCACTTAATCTATGAATAGTTAAATATGAGAGCTGGGGCCTGGCAGATTTTCAGAGTTAAGGAAGAGGATAAAGAATACTTTCTAAGTAATGAAAAGAGACAAGTTAAACTGGAAAGGAACTCTACCCCCCACCTTAACTCCTGGATCTCCTGTTTTGCCTTTAATCCTTAACCCCCTCCACACCTGAGACAGGCAGTTTTACCAGTGATTTGAAGACTGAGAAATATCCAATCATTCAACATCCCAAAGCAGGAATTGAAACAATATGTAACCTCCCAACGCCAGTGCATGAGGAAGAGGTATTTGTTTCTGGTATTCACAACCAGAACTCTGGAATCACTTTTTTCTCATAAAAATATTATTTAAAAGACCATTTAAGTTTTGTAATACTTGTCATATATTTAGATGTGGTTCATTTAATGAAGCACGGTGGACACAATCAGGAGACCAGAAATTGGAATCGAACGTACTGACTGTCCCAAAGTGACCTAAACCGGGGGATGCCTGAACTGCAGTCAGAATGTGATAGCCAAGGGCATGGACCAGGCCAGAGGGGACGGTTCAGGAATAGGGAGGTCCAAACATAGGCACAGGAGTCTCCTAAGACAAATCTAAAAGCATGTGCTTTCCAACTGCCATATCTACTTAAACCCAGTATCAGAGTTCTCTTTGTCTCCATTCACTCCTTTTATTAATATTTCAATTGGGACTACAGTTTCTACGTAAATGTATTAGATTGTTAACAATCATTTCTTCTGGAGTGAATAAATGACAATTGTGTGAAAGGTTTGCAATACTGACATGCTTTTCTTACATAACTGTTAAACAAATACTAAATACAATTATCTATCTTTAAGGGTTCTTCTCTAAAATGTCATGAGAAGAAAATATATCCAAAGAATGAATCTGAGCCTCTGTTAGCTGCTTTAATTCAATGTTTGATTTAATAGCAATATCGTACCATTTTGAAACCCTCGTTAATGGGCCCAGCAATGTGTTATCTTTACAAGCATCTTTTTTTTTTTTTTTTGCCTTTTCATGTGATATTTTTCAAACAGATTGACAAGGAACAATATGACAAAATACTTGATCTCATTGAGAGTGGGAAGAAGGAAGGGGCCAAACTGGAATGTGGCGGAGGCCCATGGGGGAATAAAGGCTACTTTATCCAGCCCACGGTTTTCTCTAATGTTACAGATGACATGCGCATCGCCAAAGAGGAGGTAAACGGTTTCATTCTGTTCTGTTGTTGCCTTGCTTCATCTGCGTGTGTGTATACGGAGTGTCCCTTTAAGATTTTCACTTCTTTGAACATCTTTCAAAATGTTATTCTCTATTTCTCATAAAGGTTTATTTGTGGTCAAGAATAAAAGTAGTAAGGAATCCATTGGGCCAGCCAAAAATTTTCAGCCAAACAGATCAGGATGCTGAGCAATTTCTAGGTGTTTCCTTCACAGCTTTAAAGTAAAGGGAAAAAAATCCTGCCATTTGTGACAACATAAATGAACCTGGAGGACACTGTGCTAAGTGACACGTGCCAGGCACAGAAAGACGAATACAGCATGATCTCACTTATACGTGGAACCTATAGAAAGGTGAAATTCATAGAAGCAGAGAGTGGAATGATGGTCACCAGGGGCTTGGGGGAGTGGGGTGTGAGGGTGGGAGATGTTGGTCAAGTACACAAAAGTTCAGTGAGCTCGAAGGAACAAATTCAAGAGATCTGTTCTAAGGATGGTGGATATAATTGATAACAACGTATTGTATACTTCACAATCACTAAGAGAGTAGATTTTAAGTGTTTTTGACACACACAAAAAAAAGTACTTATGTTCCACCTGCTGGTTCTGTATTTGCCCTATGAACTTTTTCTACAGAACAACCATCTATATATTTGAAAATAGCATTCATCCCTATATCACTCCCCACCATCCATGGGCTCTTGGCCCTATGTTTTTCAGCTGTTAGTCTTCCTGATGTTGTATATTGTAGTTAAATATTTAGTAAGTTTATGTGTATATGTATAACATGTAAATTATATATACATACATATATACTGTATGTGTATACATATATGCTCACTAAATATTTAAATAAGATATACTAAATTAGGAAGAAAGATTAGTACTGTTGTTCTTGTATATCTTGATTAATACCAGATAGAAAGGATAGGAGAAAGATCTTCAGTCAAAGAAACATTTATTAAGTTCACACATTATTCATAGTAGAACAGCTAGCTTGCTACTTCAAAGTGGAAGCCTGGAGCCATGTGCTAAGTTGAATTAAAATTATGTAAAATATGAGCACATTTAGTGCAGCAGCTGCTGCATGTCTGGCTCCTGGGTTACAATCTCATGATTAGATGTACGACTTTGGCTATGCACTCAGCCTCCATTGACTGGTAGCTCCCACCCCTCTAACACTTAAAGCAGTGGTGAAAACCAGAAAACCATTTGTCATTTCTGATTTTTGCCTCCTCTCATTCATGTATCCCAGAAAATTCTGGTAACAGAGGAACCCCATTTTTTATTTAATTCTAATAAATGCCTCACTGAAATATAATGTAAGTGCTTAATTTTTAAGAAAAAGTCTAGTTGTCATGTTTCTACCTGGGGCTAAGATACAGAATAACTTGAGTTTGGACTGTACTACCTAGAAAGTCTAGCAAAAGTGAGAGTACTTTAGGCTAAAACAAGAAAATTGTGATTTTTAGTTATTTTCTGCAACTATAGCCATTGCCAGTGAACTCAAGCTTTGATTGGTACAGGGTGTTTCAGGATTTAAGCTCTTGCAGTAATGAACCGTTCTGTTTAGTATATGTAAGTTGCATAGGATTTCCTACAGAGTAGAATCTGAACAAAAATTCATGTTGTTTTTCCTACCTTGACTAATTATGAAAATATCTAAGTGCAGTAAAATGGTTAATATTTCAACCAATGGTATACTGGTATTTAAAGGACAATTACTATCATCAATCATTGCCTATTCATTTATCAAGAAGAGCAAGCACTGCTTTCTGGAGCTCACTGTTATATGTAGTAACTTGGAAGATGAGGAAAACTAGGGAGAGAATTTTAAATGACCCTAAATGAAAAAGAAATTCTGAAGTTAACAATTTGATGTACGATTATAAGTTCTTGGAAGCTTCATTCCAACATCTAGAAAATGAACATTGCCTTAATTATTTGTGTTCTATCTTGTTCCGAAGAGAACTTAACACATGACCATTACCTATTCTCACCTATCATTTCTGCAGCTACCTATTTGGATTCTTATACATAGGTTTGAGAATAGAAGCAAAATCTTAATCAATTTGGGATAGTTTATAAAAAAAAATTGCAATATAATGTGAAATATTTAATTTTAACCTATCATTCTGATTTATTTAATCTATTTCTTGTGGTATAGATATTTGGACCAGTACAGCAAATCTTGAAGTTTAAATCTTTAGATGATGTGATCAAGAGAGCAAATAATACTCACTATGGATTAGCAGCAGGAATCTTTACCAAAGACCTTGATAAAGCCATAACAGTGTCTTCTGCTCTGCAGGCTGGGACAGTGTGGTAAGTGAAACCTCAGTAATGCAGCTTTTTCAGTGTTAACCACATTAACAGGTTACCTTAAACCTTTTTAGACTTGGATTTTTCATTTGGAAATACATGGCTTGCTAGAAAAGTAATTGCTGCCTTAAAAAACAAAACAAACAAAAGACAAAAGAAATTTCAGGTTTTTGATTTTGAAAAAACAAAATGTCACATGCCTAATTGATAAAGAACCTTGTTGTAACATTTCACTGGGTGTCTTAGGAATTCCCAGTCAGGAATATCTGTTCAATTAAGACAGAGGGGACCATATTTTTATTGCTATATATCCTAGAACATAATCATATTGTAGCATTGTCCCATCTTGAGAGCTGCTTGGTGTTTTTAGGACAATTACTGAATTCCATAGTTGCTGGGATTTTAGCCACATTTTCAAAGTAGGTGTGTGATTTTACAATTTAAATAAGTATTAGACAAAGCTAAGACAAGCTGCCTTTTAAAAGTGTAAATTTATTAAAAGAACTATTACTCCAGGATGAGAGACATGGGTAATAACTCTATGGTCCAGTGAGAATGTAAAATGCTGAGAATTGACAGTAGTAAGTGTTGTAACTGAGAAAACATTTGAATGTTATTTTAGGATCAGAATAATGATTAAAATCTTCAAAATATAATACCATTTTTCTGAAAGTCATACTGTCTACTTATTATAATAGATTAAGGAGGGGAAATTATTAAAAAAGAACATTGTTTTCTCCTTTAAAAAAAATTTTTCCTTTTGTGTGTAATGAGAATCAAGTAGGTAATAAGATTTTGCTCTTAACTTTGGCCACCAGGAAATTTAATGCTAAACAAATTGTTCATACCCGCATAATTGCATTCTTATTTCCCCCATCTTGATCTTTTATTGTAATTATTTCTTGAATTCCAACTATTAATATTTTTTTAATTACATTTGTTTTTATATAAGCATCTTTAAACACTTTATGAGACATGACAGGGAATAAACAGAATGATAATTAAGTCCAACCTCTACCAAGGCCTCTGTTTAAGTAATTTGTTGAACCAATTAATTGGGAAAAAATGAACTAAGTAATATGATATGTATTGAAGTTGCAAAAGAAAATTGAATCTAACCTATTAAGTACACAAGCATCAAGAGAACTGCAAAGCTTATTGAATATAGGCAGTAAGGAATACCCATCCAACAAATTCTAGTCTTCAGTAAGCCATATCATTTCTCCTATGGCATATTAGCTATTGTATGATTCTAACTTTTATAATTCTAACTATGCCTTCTTAGGGACATGATATACTACCAAAAAGGCAATACAATATACATACATACATATGTGTATCATTTTCTTTGTTTCTAGGTGGCATATATCCATATACTTCCAAATTTTAATTTACAGTGCTGCTTTTTTGTTGCAATGAGTATGTCATATGGAAATTAATGGAGTTCTTGGGCTTTCTAAATTTCTAAAATTGCCAAATGAAAGTTATTTCATATGTTAAGTATCATCTATACTGTACTTCTATTCAGGGTGAACTGCTATCTCATGTCATCTGCCCAGTGCCCCTTTGGTGGCTTCAAGATGTCTGGAAATGGACGAGAACTGTAAGAATAACTTTCTGTTGATATATTTATTTCATAAAAATGGTTTTTACTCCTAGGAAATTAACTCACAGTTGCCACTTTAAGTAAAATCTGCTTCTGTTCTTTACTGGAGAATTTATACCACCCAATAGCATATTAAATGTTGGCTGTACCCCATAAGTGCAGAGAGGTGCTGGCAGAAGGGAAATATAATTTATTAAGCTCCCACTAATCATAAAGGTCCATATTAAGCACTTTACACTGCTGATTGAAATATTGCTTACTTTTAAAATTGTTTGCTGTGTATATGAATGAAATCCATGGGGGAAACATCTCCAGAAATGGTGATTGTAAGAAGTGTACAAATATAAGAACACTCCAGTTATTTGAACATGCCTCCTAAATAAGTAAATTAGGTGCCTTATCTCAGAAAACATCAGTACAAGAGGAATGATTCTCATTTTTTGAAATTTTATTGATGTAGACTCTAAAATTTTAAATTACCTGAATATTTTTGAAACTAAAATATAAACCTCAAGGGAAATTTGACCAAGGAAAACATGTTTTATAGTAGTGAATAGATGGAGAATATTTATATATAAATGTATTTATGAGCCTTAAGTTGCTTTTGAAACTGGGAGAGACAGATTTTTTGTAAAAATGTTAACATAAGTATGTAAAAACAGAAAATAGTGGCAAGATGTTTGGTTAAGTTTATTCAAGCAATTTTAACCATTTTATTTCTTTACATTCTCTTATATTTGCCAATATACTTAAAATTCCTGAAGAAAAAAAGATAAATGATATGCAGTCCTTGTGGAATCAAACATAGTAAAGCTGATAATTTTGTAAATAGCAAGTAAAAATCTTTCTCAGTTACTAAGGGTCATGCATGAAGTAGACATGCACTTTGTCATTTATCTTAATGAATCAGCAAAATTACAATTAAGCAATATTTTTGCGGAGCCAGTGAAATGGAGGAATGACAGAATGATCTGTCAACTTTCTCAGCATGCATTCATTAGCACTTGCTATGGATAAGGTCCTAGGGACATGACACTATGTTCTGTCCTCTACTTAACTGTGGTGGCAGGAGGAATATGTAAAAATATCTGCAAAATAACCTGCACACACTAGATCAAGACTCCATGCCTCATGGGGACAGAGAAGCAGTTTCAGTGCAGAGCAAAGTATTAAAGGACAGGAGATTTGGACAGCACCAGACTTTAGCATTTAGGATGGCATGTCTCTGTCACTATTTTCATCTGTCACACAAGGTCAAGGATTGTGGATGAAGATAGGAGTGAGCAGAGGAAATAGAAGGTCTTTTAAGCTCCTTTCCATGGTTCTATGGTTCTAACTCCAGTGGAAATTCAGTGGATAAAACATTTAATCGCAGTTGATAGAGTAAGAGAAGACCTCACAAAAGAGATGGGACTTCATCTGGGGCAGGAAGAGGGCGTTCTTGAATGGAACAATATATGTGGTGTGCTGAAGGGCTAGTGAATTTGCTTGGTTACTGTGGATATATGGGGGTGAGAAGTATGATTCAGAGTTAAATATGATATTGATTAAGAAGTCCTGAAGCCAAGAAAATAGTCTGCGATTTTACTTGTAGAGTAATGAAGAGCCATAGATATGTTTAGAATGTTTTGAGGAGATAGCAGCAGAAGATCAACCCATGAAAAGTACAAAGCGTATCTGAGAAGACATCATTTGAGTCTGGCCAACCTGCATTTAAATCCTGACTCCACCACTTGCTAGCCATGCCGCCCACTTCAAGTTGTCTAACTTCTGAGCCTCCATGCCTCATATTTCAAATGGAGATGCTAACTTTCCTCTTAAGATGGTTATCACATAGTGAATGTCCAATCCCTAGCCTTGTAACTGTCACAAACTGAAAACTCAACAAATGGTTTCTTCCTCCCCTAGTTTCTTCTCTTTATAATATCCATTGCTGGAGAATCCCTTTGCAGAACTAATTTCTTTACACAAAAAGCTTGAACAAAGGACAGATTACTCAGAAGGTCTGTTAGTTCATTGCTGGCCCAGCTACCTAACACATTTTCCTGGGAACAGTGAAGATAAAATAATCAAAAGGGATGAAACAACTTAAGTAGACCAAACTTGTAAATTCTGTTGAATACAGATTTTAAGGTTGAGACGTAATGGAATCAAATAAGAGAAGGGTTGAAAACAGGAATCAACCATCAATAATTTCCTAAGTATCAGGAACAATTGTATATATAATGTCACAGCCTAAGCAGGACAATAATCACACTTATTACTCTCTTAAGAGCTGCAGGTACCATGTGACCCAAAATACAATGGAAAGCCTATTGGTTAAAATCATGGGTTACTTTCTCTAACTCTATGAGATAAAATACTATCTTTTTAATGGGTTTCAGACAACTGAGCCTAACCCCTTTAATTACTTTGAAGAATGTGCTCATTGAATCTTTTAAAAGGTATTTTTAGAAGCTTACTTGCCCCCAAAAATAATCAGTGTAAGAATATTAGGTTACCCAGGAGAAAATGATGTCTTCTACATATCTGTCTATATCACAAGAAGGAAGGGGTAGAAAAGGATCAAGATCTTATTTTTCTGTAAGCCTACATGTGCATGAGTGTTGTCATTTTAAGAACATTTTTATATACGTGTAATTTGATCCTTTTGTCAGAACAATATAGAGTATAACTGGGCCCCAGTTCCTTTAGGTATGTCTTCAACAAAGGGTAAATCACAGTCCCTAAAACTGGTAGGAGGTCCCCAAAATCCTGATAACAAGATAAGAGGGTCCAAATGGACTGACTGGGATTAATTCCTGATCATTTGGGTTGGACTTGAGTTATATAAGCAAATGGTAGGGAATAGAGGAGGTCATATAAAGGGAAAAAACCAACAACTGCAAAACCCCAAGAGCCTGAATGTAGGCCAATCTACCCTTGTCCTCTTCCTTAAAAAGAAAACAATCAAAAAAAGAAAAGAAAAATCAGAAAACTTTAATAAAAGTCAGATTTTTTTTTGCAGGGAATCAAAAGATATTGCTAAAACTTCAGCTGCAAAATATTTTGTTTCAAGCCATATTAAAGCCCCTTAGAATGAAAGTTTCACTCCTTCATCATTTCGATGCCAATTCTGTGCACTTGGTAAATTCAAGCTCTGCTTTAATTTACAGTTTTATTGTACTACTATCGAGTGATTATATATCACTACCTCTGCTCTTTTACTATATTTGTCTTAAAGTGAATCTAGACTAGAAATGACAAAATTCTTATTGGGCTGAATTGTCTTTTGAGTAGATAGGGCTTTTTAAAATCAAGTAGGATAATGTAAATAATGGACAATTTCTACAAAAATCAACTGAGAGTACATGATTTTTTTTATTTTTATTTTTTTTTTAGGCAAAGTCTTGCTCTGTCATCCTGGCTAGAATGCAGTGGCGTTAAAGCTCACTGCAACCTCAAACTGCTGGGCTCAAGCGATCCTCCTGCCCCAGCATCTTGACTAGCTGGGATTATAGGCATGGGTCAGAGGGCCCAGCTGACTTTTTCTATTTTTAGTAGACACAGGGTCTCGTCTTGCTCAGGCTGGTCTTGAACTCTTGAGCTCAAGCTATCCTCCCACCTTGGCCTCCCAGAGTGCTGGGATGACAGGGTGAGCACCGCGCCCAGCCTATATGATTATTTAAAATGAAAGAGCTCTTAAAAACATATTTCCCACAAATGGATTTATGTTAAGTCCAGACAGTTTTGGTTGGCTAGCTACTATATAAAATGCTCTGGACACAGAAAATATTTTCCATTGTTCCTAGCCAGATAAGCAAGAACAAACTTGTACCAATCACGGAGTATAGTACATTTGCACTCTGCTAAATGGTGTTTATGGGTGTTTTTTTTCCCTCTCTCTAGGGGAGAATATGGTCTCCATGAATATACAGAAGTCAAGACAGTCACAATAAAAATCTCTCAGAAGAACTCATAAAAAAACTACAAGAGTGGAGAGAAATTCTTCAAAACCGTCTCCTATAGTCACCAACAGAGTGGGTTTTCAATATGAAATTGTTCTTTTCGTGATTTTCTTAAAAAGTAAGCTAATAATGTGTTAATACTATCCATAGAAAACTTGATGTGTAGCTTATTCTGAATCATTTGCTTTCTGATATGTGACTCCGAGTCCTATCCTAAATAAAAAGGATGCATTTGGATGCCAAATCTTTGAAGCTCTGTCATAGTCATGTGCTTTTCTTTGTAGCTACTTGTCCAGATTAATCATTTCATAGACGAGGACCAGTTGTCATTTAGCTTCTTTCCCTTAAGGACTCCTTGAAGTACTTAACATACATGTTAACTACAGAGTAAGTTGCTCTGTTCCCAGTAGTTAGGAACTACTTGGAGTGTCTTGAAATGTTTCTTAGATCCATGTCTGCTTGTCAAATGAAGTAATGCCTGAAATACTTAGCTGTAAGCTGAATATGAACCTTAATAAAAACAACTTTTCATGACTCTTGTTCAGTTTGAAATTTTTTTAAGTGGAAGTTTTGTTGATTTACTCTCCTTGTCACTCAAAAACAGCATTAAATTGAGCATAAAGATGCATTTAAAATAAAAGTCTAGGCCGGGCGCGGTGGCTCACGCCTGTAATCCTAGCTTTCTGGGAGGCAGAGGCAGGTGGATCGCTCAAGGTCAGGAGTTTGAGACCAGCCTGAGCAAGAGTGAGACCCTGTCTCTACTAAAAAATAGAAAGAAATGATCTGGACAACTAAAAAAATATATATATATATATAAAAAATTAACTGGGCATGGTGGCGCATGCCTGTAGTCCCAGCTACTCGGGAGGCTGAGGCATAAGGATTGCTTAAGCCCAGGAGTTTGAGGTTGCTGTGAGCTAGGCTGACACCATGGCACTCACTCTAGCCCCGGCAACAAAGCGAGACTCTGTCTCAAAAAAAATAAATAATAAAATAAAAGTCTAATCCACCCATTCTCAAATGGGTAAAGAAACATTTTATTTTCCAGAGGAATTCTTGATATCAATGGCATACATTTGAGATAGATGGCATCAGTCTTTCAGTAAGCATTTATTGAGTTCCTACAAAGTTCTGGGCTGGGCACTATGTTGGATGTTGTAGAAAATAGGTGAATAGTGAATGGTCCCTCATCTCAAGATGCTTTAATTTAATGAAGAACAAAGATAATCCCTGCACCCCAGATAAAGGAAGGGGCATAAAATAGAAGTGAGGATTCTGGAAACCATAAGAGTGCAATAATATGCCAAATAGGTAGTGATGAAGTCTGAGAGAATTGAAAATGGCCTCATGAAGAAAACTGGACTGGATGTGAACCTTAATGATGAGCAGATTTGCAGTGACTCAGAGGGAAAGAGGTTCTACAACATAATCTCTCAGGGCATGTTCCATTGAAAAACAATTTGAAGAAATTCTATGCAATGTTTTCCTCTCTTGAAGTTTCAAGTTGCACATTGGCAGCATATTCTAAGACCAGGTTCTGAGAAGTCCTACAACCTGTTTAGTTTTGTTTTAATACAGTTTTTTTTTTCTAAATTTATTTTAGCAGAGACCTTGCCTTCCTCCCACCCTCTTTTAACACCAATTATCATTAAGAAATCCATGTTGGAAGATGCCGTTTCCTGCAGCGAGGGAGCAATTACTGTTCTAAGGACAGATCTGGCATCAAAAGGGAGCAGCTGGAAAAATGGCCTCTGTGTAAAACTAACTACACCATGATTACACTGCCGCTCTTGGAGCACAGTGGCTGTTTGTGTTCTCATTCTTCTGTTGTACTTCCATGCAGGAACTGCCTTAGACCCAAGTCAAATCAAGTAAATATTTGCATATTACTGTACCTATTCTAAAATGTTTTTAGTTCAGCAACTTAGGGAAACATTTTTTTCAGATTCAGATTTTATTTAAATGTTTATCATTTTATATTAACAGATACCTCAGTGACATTGTTGTTTAGACATGCTACTAGCTGCCACAGTCAAGTTTAACAATGTAAGAATAAATGAAACTCATTAGCTTCTTAGACTTATAATAATTTCAACTCCAATTTTGAGAGTTTCTCAAACTTGTGTGAGCCTATAAGATTTGCAATTTGAACTCGCTTTGTAAAATGTGGGACATAATTATTGTTTGAGAACTGTAGGAACCAAAGTCTTGAGGAGAACTGAAAGGTTTGTCAACATTGAAATGGGAAAATATCCAAATACAGAGGAGGGTTGTGTTTTCCTAAAACAAGATAGTGCCATTTTTAAAAGACATTTTTAAAAGATGTGTTTAAAACCATGTGCAAATAAATTAATAGCTAGACAAGTTAATATTGTAATGGCATCCCACCAGAACATTTTTTAAATGTGTAACAAAGAGGGCTAAGCACAGAACAAGACAAAAGGCAGAAGCAACTTTAAATATTTGAAAATTAAAGCTTCATTGTATAAATAAGACATTACAGGATTAAACAAAATATCTGTTTTATATTGGCTCGTCCTGAGCCTCTAGACATTATTTATATTCCATTATTTGTATTAAGACCATGTTGGCAATAATTCTTAAAACCTTGAAAAGTTAAAGGATATCTTATTAATTAGCCCATGTGCTATAGGAAATACAGGTCAGAAATTTTATCATGAAGAATTCAGTTTTGCAGTTATAAATATCTAACTGTCCTCATGTCCATGTGGCAAGAAGTATTTCGAGCTCCAGGAAAACCAAACTATGACAGAAGTTGGAATTCACTGTTCAGGCAGAGATAATGTCAGATTTCAGATAAGCATTCTCTAAATGTCTACTGGGTTTTTTTCATTTTTTCTCTCTCTTTCCTTCCTCCTTTTTAGTTTCTTATTAGGATGCATACTTCTGGCTTTATTTTGAAACAGCCAAGAATAAATGGCGGGAGGAGAGAGTGTTTTCTTAAATTCTTGTAACCAATTCAAAATAGAGGCAACTCAAGGTAGGGAATTTTAGCCACTTCTTCCCATAGTTTGGGAGGGAGTGATGAACTCAAAAGGCTTTTTCCCTTAGTGATGCATGTAACTTTTTGAGTATCTAATTTCACTCAGATGTTTAGAAGTGCAATTGTACATGTGTAACATCAACTAGACACCTATGTTCAAGTGGCTTTCTCAGAGTATGCTAAATATTCAGGTTACATTTTTACATAAAACACAAATTCCCCATTAGAGTTTCATTTGCTGATTTATCCTGGGAGATTTTTGTTTGTTTGTTTTTCGTGCCCTGGAGATGTATTTGAACCTTCCTATTCTGTTGGTAAAAGGATATGTGGGAAAAGAATTAGAAATGATAGCTAAATTTTCTTGATACCGAAATTCAGTGACTGCCAGGATGGTGTGAAAGCTTTCTGTTGTAGCACATGAGGACTGTGGCATTCTGGAAAATAGTATCATGAGTCAAGACACAAATGAGAGAGAAAAGCCCAATTATTACTCTGACATTCTGTGGAAGAGTAGAGATGGCATCTTTCAGATCACAAGGTCGCAAAATTCTCTGTGGGGGCTTAAAACAAATCTAGATCATGTCTCTTAACTTGCCCTTAGACTCTGGGTGGTGGGTTTAGCCCAGAGAAAAATAGTCCAATCCATAAACATGTAGGATAAATCCTAATTCACTAGAAAGTCAACTTTGTCACCCCATGAAATATCTGTGCCAGAGGTATAGCGATGCTTTTAGAACATTTGTTTAATGCCATGTGCTGACTACTTTCACAAGAATTCAGTTTTTAAAAAGTGGACATCTCTGAGTTTTATAAAAAAGTTTGTAGGCTGCCCTGGTGCTACCTTGAAGTGATTTCACCAGAGTATTATGATTTTTCCTTGCTTTTTGTGAAGTTATTTCTTTAAAGATTCATCAGGCCTTGAAAAATATACTAAATATGAAACCACAGAACCAGTTTAG